TTGAGAAATGGTAAAATTTAGATAAGTGATTATCTATCTTCCGAGTAAATAAAACTTTTAGGGGATGTTTCAAGTCATCATGAAACAATTCTTTACTGAGTTTACTATCTGTACGAACTGTTTTAAAATACTTGATAATTGGTTTGAAAAAAACCTGGTCTTTTGTTGTTCAAAAAAACTGAAAATTCAAAAATGAAAGAAGTGCTTGTCTTCCCAAAAATGAAGTTTAATTTAGCTGCTGCATTTTTGTCGTGAATCAACAGGAAAGCAAAAATCCTGAAGTAAGAAGGAAATCAATGATCTGGAGATTATTTCCATCCCAACTCTAATTACTGAAAGGAATTATAAATACCAAATGAAGATTTTTAGGGAAGTAGAAAAACATTACACAGGAGGGGAATGATATGACATTCCGACTATGGGAAGTAGTTCTTTCGATAATTTTTTCTTTGGTTATTAATGTAAAATTGGTAATTGATATTATCTTGAGTTAAATTAATATCTTATATTTTAATTAGGTGTATTTGATAAACTTGAAAACCAAATAAAAGAATGATTTATTGGATATGAAAATATTAATCAATTTAACCTTGGTTTTAGTTATCAAGATTAAGGTTTAATTTGTGTTGGCATTCTTTACCATATTGGCTTTTGTCTGTAGTTAAGTTATTATGGGCTCTTAATTCAAAACCAAAAACTCTGTAAACATCTTCTGCAGTCTTCCTTAAACGGAACTCTTCAGGGTTTTCTATTTAGAAAGTTATACATATTTGATATGAGGTTCTCTTCAGGGTTCAATCTGGGATTCTACTTAAGAAGAAGGGAATTTTTTAGGTTCTTTATTGTTTTAAAGGAACAGTTTTTTGTAAAGAGGATGAAAGTTTCTTTCATTTTGTTTTTCCTATTAACATTCCCTGAACTTTTAAAAGTCAATAGATTAATTTTTAAATGGTTCGTTTTCTCTTCCTCTTTTTTTCTCTCTGAAGATACCAAAAGAAAACCGGTTGGAGTTCTCAAAGGTTATAATTTAACCATTTGACGGCTGACTTTACCACAACAGGTTAGAAGTAATCAATCATAGTGGTTTAAAATTATTCAGTTTTTTTATTTTGTCTAGTATTAAATTTATATTGTTTTTTTTATTCCATGTTATTAAATCATCACAGCCAAAGACTATCTCTTTAAAAAGGGGGCCACTAGGATGATTAGGGAACCATTCCACCATTTGGCCATGGTGCAGCATTTTTCTTTCATTTGATTCTTATTTTACAGAATAGTTTTAACCTGTTCAAAGATTTTTCGGCAATGGGAATTTTTGTCTTTTCAATTTTTAACTTGCTTAAGCAAAATTTAATTCCAGTGGTAAAAAGCATTTTTTATTAAAGTATATTCAGCTATAGTATGCGTTTTTATATGTATATGTAACTTTTTGTATTATTGGTTTATTACACTTGTATGGCTGAATTGGCCAGGTTTACCAAACATAGGGAACATTTTCAACATAAGTAACAATTTTAAAAAGGATTGTTTTTCCTGATTTTATAGTTTTTCACAGGTTAATAATAAATTCATGTTAAGTGACAGGGTGTATGTTGATTTATTAATGTGTTAGTTTAACTTACATCATCTTGTCCTCTTATTTACCTAAAACATTTTCTCGTAGGCCCGGGTTGGATGGGGCCCAGGACATTCAAACACCAAGTTAAGATCTTTTCAGAAGCAGATGGAAGTACTTTGTGTTAAACGGTTCATTTGTTGTAACTGGTCTTTACTTTCTGGGGATGGAGTAAGTTAATGTTGAAACTCAAATACCCTTAAAGGACACTATTGCTTATTGGTTTTCCCTCCTTTCTTTTTTTGGGTACCCATTAATTTAATTAGATCCCCCAACGAAGAGGTTTTCAGTTGTCCAAAAGGGAAGGAAAAACTGAGACAATATTTGGAGAAAAAATTGAACTGAAAACAGAAAAAGTAAAGTGTGGGAAAAAGTATGGAAGTGATTACAAACTGGTTTGGTGGACTCGGAAGTTTGTCTTTTTTTTCTTCATAATTTACAATACTTGTATTTGTGGTGGCATTTTGTTTCTAGTGAATTGGTTCTTCATTATGTTATAAGAAAAATTATTTTTGGTAAAACATACTTTTCTTATGTTCGTTGGGGTAGGAGTGGGAAATAAACAAATTTTGATATCTAAAATGCTTGGTCTCTCATCACTTTATCAGGGGCCTATTCCAAATAAAAATACCAGTTTGTAAATTTAGACCAGAGTATTCAGGCTTTGCTTAATTAGGAAAGGCCAACCTTCTCAATACCGATTTTTCCATTTTAATTGAATTCAAATTAAAGAACCAAATTATGAGAATCCCATATATATTACTATTTTTGGACTATCCTTACTGATTGGACTGTATGGGCATTTCTTCGCTTGCTGCTTGTTATTGCTTTATCGGATTGCTGCAATTAGTTTTGATGTGTTGCAATTTGGACCATTTTGATTGGTTAATTTTTTTAAAATTTTAAGATTTTAGGAATTTTTTAAGATTTACCTTGTATTTAAGTTGAGGCATCATTTTAATTAGGTTTTTCTTCCTTTCTCTTCACATACCAAATTTGTTTTTAGTTTTCTTGTGGGGATTAACAAAAGAATTATATTAAAATCATGTGCCTTCATTAAATTATAAAAATAATTTCTTCATAAAAACAGTCTACCAGTTTTACGGTTGTGACAGTGGGGTTCTTTTTCTGAGCAAAAGTTGTTGCTTTTCCTTGGTGAAATTTTGGGTTCCAGCTTTCTCATGTTCATCATTACTTCAAATTATTTTCGCTGGCTGAGTAGTTCAGTAGTATTAATTCGTGTGTTAAGTCATTTCCAGGTTACTTGCTTTGTTTTGAAAATCTGTTTAATAATTGCTATTGGAGAACAGATGTAAAAATTATTTTATTGAGATAAAGCAATTATAAGGATTTAAGGAGGGGATGTTTAGATTTCTTAAAGATGGGGCTTGAGCTTAAAATTAGTACCATTTACTTTGGTAATGCAAAAAGAATAATCTTGTTCCTAATCTTTTATGTTTTAATGTTTAGTTGTGACGGAAGTGTTTTTCCCAATCCTGAACAATACATTCCTCTTTCATTGTGTAGGAACCAAAAAAGTTCAGGAATTTTAGGTAAAGGAATTTTTTGCCTACTAATAATCCTTTGGAAAATTAATTGTGTTATAAAATTAAGAATGGAAAAAAGAAAAACCTAACTTGTCCCATTTGAAAATTAAGATTGTGGATGTTTTACTTAAAACTAAAGAAATTAAATTTACAATGGAAGCTTGAGAAAGAGCATCAATCGGCACACCATTTCTGACATCTTAATATGAGGAGTTTTCCACTAAACAGTTGTGTTATTTAAAAAATATTAAAGGAACGTATGTAAGAAACGTCTTTTCTGAAAAAAGTAGTAAAAAAGTATTGGATTAATTATGAAAGATGGCCCAGTTGTGGTTGGCTTTCATGCTTTGTAAAATTCTAGCACTCTGGAGGCAGGGGGCGGATTGGCTTGAAGGGGTTCAGGGGAGTTCGAAAACCCAGGCCTGAAAGGCAAGAGCGGAGGTGACCGTCCTTTTTTACTATTTATAGGGAGAAATAATTGGCCAACTAATATATATAGAAGAAAGTTAGCCGGGCATGGTGGCACATGCCTATAAGTCCCAGCTACTGGGGAGGCTGAGGCAGTAGGATTGCTTGAGCCTAGGAATTTGAAGTTGCTGTGAGCTAGGCTGACGCCATGGCACTCACTCTAGCCTGGGCAACAAAGCGAGACTCTGTCTCAAAAAATAAAAAAATAAAAAGAAAGATGGAGTTGTTTCAGCTTCTGATTTCTAATAGTGTTTGAAATGCTTTTAATTCTCTCATAGAACAAATTTACCCAGTTCTGTCTTTTGAATTTCTTTTATAGAGGTTGACCCAGAGTGCTTAGTGTTTAGAAAAAGAGGAAGAAAATATAGCACAGCCTTACTTCAGAAAAATTTTACGTAATTAGAATCTATCTCCTTGTTACTATTGAAGGCAAAGCTCAATAAAGTTGTCTTAAAATAGGCAGATCAGTTGTGTGTTTTTCATGTTATTTGGCAACAAATAAAGTTTTGTTGTTAAGCATATGAGATGCTTGATAAAGAGCAAATTTTATTGCTGAGTGAGAATGAGTATAAGCCCAAATAAATCTAAATGCAATTTAATATGTGCTTTTCTTTTTTAGAAGTAATGATCCATTTATTTGAATCTCCTTCCTTGTTTAGTGTATAAAATTTAATTGCTTAGGAAACTTTGAGTACCTGCTATGTTTAAGGAATCAGTCTCCAACAATCATGATTTAAAAAAAAAAAAACCAAATAACTTGCCTTGATCTTTAATTTTCATTTCTAAATAAGCATTTTTTGTTAAGGTTTATTATCAATGTAAATTCTGTGGTTTGTTTGGAAATGAATTGTTCAAAGTACTGTTGTTTCATATTTAATGATGATAAGCAGTGATTTGCTCTATTGATGCTAGAATTAAACATTTCTTGAAACTCACTAGAGTCTTTTTCTTAACTTTATCAGGATCATTAATTTTAGTCAAAAAACTTATTTGTAAGTCAAATTACAAAGTCTGTACAGCTAATCAGAATGATTGTACAGGTCTCAAACTCAGATGCCCTTGGGGACCAGGCAAGTGAAATAAATGTCAGCACTTCTGGATTGTAACACCACAGGAAGGGGGGAACTATCACCACCCAGACAGGACATGTCCCTTACTGAAGGCATTAGAGGAAAAATTGTGCTGATGACAAACGTTCCTGGCACTGGTCATACTGGAAAGATAGACTTAGGGTTTAAATTTTCTGAAAACTACTAGAATAACCTTTAAATTTGAAGAAAAAAGTGGGATCAAAAATATTCAGATCATAGACATCCAGTTTGGTTTTTGTTGATTAATATGTGTTTTTGATTTAATTGCTTTCCACATAGTGCACAGATTTCTACATTTAAAGACAAATCTTCAGTTCCACCTCTGGTATCAAGTGGAGTCAATGTTGCTTCACAAACACCTGTTCCAACACCTCAGAAGACCCAGGGAAATGAACACAGGGCTCAATTACCAGATTCTTCAGATTCTGTTAGGCAAATGGTCCAAGATGAAATGTTTAAATTAGTTCAGGTGAGCACATCTCTAAGTAAGTAAATCTACACATGATATATGTAAGGTTTTAAAATATTAACAAACTTCCAGAAATTGACAAGTTAAACTGCAGCCATTTCTCTGCTTTCGGCACTCTTTGTCATTCAGAAGTTCATAACCGCTTGGGCTGGCATTGTGGCTCACGCCTATAATCTCAGCACTTTGGGAAGTTAAGATGGGAGGATCGCTTGAGACCCGAAGTTTGAGAACAGCCTGGGCAATATAACGAGACCTGCCTCTACAACAAAATTAAAAATTAGCCAAGCATGGGGATGTGCACCTGTAGTCCTAGCTACTTGGGAGGCTTAGGCAAGAGGATCTTTTGAGTTCAAGAGTTGCATGCTGCAGTAAGCTATGATCATGCCACTGCACTCCAGCCTAGTGACAGAGTGAGACCCTGTCTCAAAAAAAAAAAAAAAATGTTCATAACTCTAGGGACTAGAGTCTAGGCTAAGCTACCTAATTACTTCTCACAATGACTTCTTTTATACTTAGCTCTTTGAGATGCAGCTGCTCACAAAATTCCTGGAGGGTAATCAGACCAGACCAGCAGACCCCACTACCAGCCTTTACTTTCCCTCCTTTCCTACCTTACTCTCACAAGTCCAGTGGTTCTCAGAGTGTGAGCCCTGGACCAGTAGCGTCTACATCACTTAGACCTTGGAAATACAAATTCTCAGGCCCCCATCACATACCTGTTGAATCAGAAACTCTTTGGATGAGGCTCAGCAGAGAGTGGTTTAACAAGTCTTCCAGGTGATTCTGATGCATGCTGAGGTTTGAAAACCACCACACTAGCCTATCTTCTCATTATCCCTGCTATAAATCTCCTGTTCTAGATAAGTCAGTGTGTGTGCTGGTGAGTCTCAAGCTTTTCTGCATATGATCTTAATGAATACTGATCCTGGCTCCCATCCCCAGACATTCTGATGTTGTTATGGGATGGGATCTGGCCACTGGGACTTTTTAAATACTTCCTCAGTTGATTCTAATGTTCAGCAAAGTTTGGGAACCACTTGTGCCTGATTTTGTCTTTCACCCAGCCAGCTCTTTTGAGAGAATCCCTTGCTCTTCACTTAGTATTACTTTCTTCCCTTTTCTTTCCTGAAAACTGTTCAGAACAAACTTATTCTGAGAATCTTTTAATTATCCCACTCCATTAGATCACTCTGTATGATCCTTGGGATGTTTATGTAAACTGGTTTACAAATACTCCCAAATCTCATTCGTGAGTCAGTGTTCATATTCTCAGTTGACAGGAAGCTTTACATTTTTTCTATTTTTTAAAATCTCTTTGCCACGCCTCCTGCTCAGCAATCATGAGTCTGATAGATACTGAGACAAAGATGTGACTGTTGTAGTCAGGTGATTGTTATTGATTTCTTAGATTCTTTTCATTATATTTTAAGATATCTCTTTAATTTTTGTTTTATTCTAGCTACAACAGATCAACTTCATGAGCCTAATGCAAATAGTAGGATCATCCTTTGCTAATATACCAGATATACATCAACTTCTACAGCAGTCTCAGTCTGTGCATTTAGGGGGAAGCCAAGTCTCAAACCCCACAGGAGGAGGGTGTGGTGATGTTGAAGATAGCAGCAGAAATCTTAAGGAGCGATTTTTCATTAAACCACAGTCCATGGGAAAATATACCAAAGAGCCTGGAAAGAACAACCCCCACTACCATGAAGGAATTATCCAATCTGATCAAACTAGTAATGGAAATGTACAGGTGATACATATAAAAATGTCATTAATATCCTAGTAGTTCAATCCATAGAGTTTCTTTTATCATTTGAGTACTTTTTTAAATCAATTATTACACTGTATTCCCTCTAAAACATACTGGACACCATTTAAAAAAACAAGAAATTTCTAATATATCCAAACTTACATAGTATCTTTTTTTCTCTTCCAGAATGTTCCACGTGAGTGTATTACTTTATGTCAATTAGATGGCCAACCTAAAATGAGAGGACTAACTCCAACATCTCAAAACTCACCTCCCACTTCGTTTTCTCCGGCTCCCAGCAATACTCACCTCCACCTTTTGTCTACACCTTCTGTTGTTCAAAAGACACCTAAACTTATCCCACCTGCAAAAACTTTTAGTCCTAGTGATGGTTTTCCTTTGCTTCAATTTAAGCCTAACCATGAATTCAAGCCCCTTTACTTACATACAGGAAGAGTTCCACAAATTCCCTTTAGGCCTCTGCCACAACCAAGAGAGGCTTGGGGATTATCTGATTCCTGTCAACCTGCTTTGCCACAGAAAGTAATGCATACTACTTCAATATCTCATTTGAATTTAAGCCAGTGTAATACTGAAGTCATAAAAAAAGCAGTTGAGCAGAAGAAATGGGAAGAAAGTATAATTACAGAAATTCCTAAGCATGTGAACTTGGATCAGTATGTTGGACAAGAAAACTGGAAAACTCAACAGGACTCTTCAATATTTGTAAAACCAGAAAAAATATTTGATATTAAGCCAGGCCCCTTGGAGGTATCTCCTCAAAGTTCCTTTGGACTTCCATTATTACACTTGCAACTTAAACCTCCTTACATATTTTCATCAACCTCAAGGGCATCTGTTACAGTTCCCTCAGTGCCTATCAGAACTGTAGCAGAAGAAAGAAGATACCCAAGACTATCATTACTTCATTCATGTCTGTCCCCAGAAAATATGGTAATGAACTTTTGCAAGGTGATGCAAAAATAAGAGTCTTGCATTTTTTAATACCATAAAACTATGGTCCATGAAAAGCTCTTACACATTTAAAAAAATAATGTTTCTTTTATAGAAAATAGCATATGAAACCAGGTCGAAAGTAGTAATTGTGTATTTTAAACATTTTAGGTCTTTTCTGTTCATCAATACTAAAATTTACTAGATTGTTTCATAGATAATTCTGCTTAGAGAAGAAATAAGTAAAATAAAATTACTAGGTGCTCGTGTGTGTGTGTGTGTGTGTGTGTGTGTGTGTAAAGAATGAGATCAGGTGAGTGCACATATTGCTTGAGGTTCCTAGAAATTATGATATGGTTGTCTTCAAATCTCTTACAGGTTAAAATTGTTAAATAGACCCAATCTGTTAGTAGTAGTGCATGTAATAAAATAATAGCTTTATAAACCCACCAAATCTTTAAAGGTGTAACCTTTGATTTATGGAATTCAAATTGTTTAGTTTTGTAGGAGAGCAATACTATTTTAGGGAAGTAATTTGAGTATATCATTTTCTAATGTACTTTTTAGATTAGAAGATGGTACTGGGAAAAGCAATGGTTATTCCTTAGAAAAAATACTCACCATTCCTCCTTTTCTTCTGAACATATTATCAACACAAGATAAGAGAATTAAGTGAAAATGTAGATATTTTGAGAAGAATTTTTTTAAAAAATTTTATCAGAGAATAATATAATGAACTCCCTAATTGCCATTACCCTGTTTCAGGGATTCTTAGCAGACTGCTGATCTACTCCATCCACCGTCTTCATGTCTCTTATCCTCCCTGTTACAAATCACTTTTAATTAAATGCCAAACATAATATCATTTCATTTATAATTGTAAGAAGCGATATTTTTAGTATGGAAATGAAATTAAGAAGATGAGGACTTCTAGCTTAATTTCTGAAATAGGATGACCTAGTTTAAACTTTCACTTTTCAAAAATCACTTTCTCTCTAAGATATGGATACTCATCTTAACCAGATCAAGTCAGCTTGTTATATTTGATTTATTCTGTCTTGTATATCTTAATCTAATTTAACCAAATGTTTTTTCTCAATTTTTTAACATATTACATAATTGAGTTTGTAATTTGTTATTATTATACTTTGTTTCTTTCCTGTAGTACAAAGAACTGCAACTTATCCCACTTGAAAACCTCATTGCATTTAAACAAAGACAACAGAAACTAACACCTAATCTATTTGAACAAGGTGATTCTGGACACCTTCAACTACTAAAGGTCAAAATAGAGGCATCTGAAGTAAGACAAGGAAAGGACAGTAAAAAAAGGCAAGTTTTAAATGAAATTTTATTTGATAATATCAGGTACCAGAAAGTTCATTATCATTTACAATCATATAGTTATAAAGGTGGAAGTCATCTGGTTAAGCCCCCTAACCTATACACAATTGCATATTCATTTTCCTTATCAAGTGTCATGCTTTTGAACACATCTTACAATGAGGAAAACTCCTGTATTTTAAGTTGAATACTATCAATTTTTCCATTTTATTTTGGAATTTTTTCCCCCCACTCATAACTGGAGGACTCTTACATGTTTCTGTAATAGAATGAGCAGTTATCATTTGCAGTACAAATACTTGGCATCATGTGATATTCTATTGTTCAGTAGTTCCCCCCTTATCCACCGGGGATATCTTCTAAGACTCCCCCGGTAGATGCCTAAAACCACAGTAGTACTGAACCCTATATATACTGTACCTTTTCCTATACATACATACCTGTGATAACTTTTTTTTTTTTTTTTTTGAGGCAGTCTTTCTCTCTGTTGCCCCAGCTAGAGTGCCATGGCATCAGCCTAGCTCACAGCAACCTCGAACTCCTGGGCTCAAACAGTCCTTCTGCCTCAGCCTCCTGAGTAGCTGGGACTATAGGCATGCCATGCCCAGCTAATTTTTTCTATATATTTTTAGATGGCCAATTAATTTCTTTCTATTTTTAGTAGAGATGGGTCTTACTCTTGCTAAGGCTGGTTTTGAACTCCTGACCTTGAGTGATCTACCTGACTCGGCCTCCCAGAGTGTGCTAGGATTACAGGTGTGAGCCACTGAGCCTGGCCTGTGATAACATTTAACTTATAAATTAGGCACATTAAATGATTAACAATAATAATAAAATAGAACAATAGTTAAGTATTATGACTATAGTGTAATTTTATTGATTGATTTTGATTGATTGAGACAGAGTCTCGCTTGTGCCCAGACTAGAGTGAGTGCCGTGGCGTCAGCCTAGCTCACAGCAACCTCAAACTCCTGGACTCAAGCAATCCTCCTGCCTCAGCCTCCCAACTAGCTGGGACTACAGGCATGTGCCACCATGCCCGGCTAATTTTTTCTATATATATTAGGTGGCCAATTAATTTCTTTCTATTTATAGTAGAGACGGGGTCTTGCTCTTGCTCAGGCTGGTTTCGAACTCCTGACCTCAAGCAACCCGCCCGCCTCAGCCTCCCAGAGTGCTAGGATTACAGGCGTGAGCCACCACGCCCAGCGTGTAATTTGATTTATATGAATGTGGTCTCTCTCTCAAAATATTATACTGTAATCATCTGTTTTCAGACCGTGGTTGACCTTTGGTAACTGACATTGTGGATAAGGGGACCAACCACTGTACTGTGTAATACTTTGAACCAGTATTTACTGTTATTCACCTTACCATGTTCTCTAGACTCTTATAGTAAGCACAGGGGAGTAGGTGATATAAATTGTTTTAGGTCACTAAGAAATGTGCACGAAAAGCAAGGCTGTGACTTCTAATGAAGAGCACTTATTATAGTGTTTTGTTGCTGATAATGGCTGTTCAATATTAGTAGATTATTACTGAGTCTAGAAAATACTTTTAAAATTCCACATTTGTTAGAGTGTATCTCTGTTACCATTCCAGAAATGGTTCTTTCCTTCCACCTTTTCCAGGTATTTTCTTTTTAAAGTAAGTCTTCCTCTTAATATTTTAGAACCTCTTTCCTCCTTGCTGGCATTTGGCTGAGGTGACTAAGTGTGTACTTAACATTTTCAAATAGGCAAATGGGGGTATCTAATAGGTTTATGATACCAGTTTTGAATTTGCAGAAAAGAGAGTTTGAAAATTAACTAAGAGATATAACCCTATTCCTGAGATTCAGTGCCTGAAATAAATAGTTCAGTAGTAAAATAACAAGGAAAGTTTCACATTTCTTTGATTTTTTTTGCTTATATTTGCTTGTATTATATCAGAATATTTTTCTAATTTAATTAAATGCTATTGAAAATAATTTAGATGGCCAATTAATTTCCTTCTATTTTTAGTAGAGACAAGGTCTCACTCTTGCTAAGGTGGTTTCAAACTCCTGACTTGAGTGATCCACCTGCCTCAGCCTCCAGAGTGTAGGATTACAGGTGTGAGCCGCTGAGCTCACACTGGCTGTAGGCCAAGTATGGTGGCTCATGCCTATAATCCTGGTACTTTGAGAGGCCAAGGCAGGAGGATTGCTTGAGATCAGGAGTTTGAGACCAGCCTGAGCAAGAGCAAACCCCTGTCTCTACTAAAAATAGAAAAAATTAGCTAGGTATGGTGATTCATTCCTGTAGTCCCAGCTACTTGGGAGGCTGAAGCAGGAGGATCCCTTGAGCCCAGGACTTTAAGGCTGCTGTGAGCTAGGCTGATGCCATAGCATTGTAGCCCAGGCAACAGAGTGAGACCCTGTCTCAAAAAAAAAAAAAAAAAAAGGAAAAGAAAATTATTTATTAACATAATTTTGTTAACTATCTCTCTACATGGCATGATACAAATGAAAAACTGATGTTACTATAAATAGTAAAAGTATATTTTATGCTATTGTGTTTAACAGGCAGAGGAGAAGAGCAGAGAAAGAGTTGCAAGAAAAAAGATCTGAAAAACTGAAGAGAAAACCAAGTGTGACTTTTCGACCAGAGGATTCCATCATTAATAATGACGATTCAAAAATCATTAAGAAACCGAAGGTATAGAACAGCTAGTATAGAGTCTTCCTTGATTTTCATGTACAGAGTTTAGTATATCTTTGTGGTTTATCTAGTCAGATTTCTGGAAGCTTAGATTATAATTAGGAGTATCTTTACATCATTCAGTACCTAAATCCCTGCTACTTCTCTCCACAGAACAGTGGACATTCACAACAGTAGTAGCTGTGAATGTCAAAAGCAACTTGATGGAAAATCAAAAACTGCAGTTTAGGGTACCTTGCCTGTGTGACTCTTTCATATTTGAAATCACTCTTTGCTTTTTTTTCTGTGACATCTTAATGCATATAATGTGTTATTTGGGCTTCTCCTGTTGCAGTTTCACCTATCTTTGAGGTTTCTCTGTGATTTTCTCTAGGTTTGTTATGTAACCTATATTTTAAGTCAAGTCTTTTTAAACATACCCTCCAAATTTGTTGACTGTCTATTTAGCTGTTTTTGCGACAACAAATAAACAGAAACATAGTTTTGCTTACATTAATTTTTTGTTTTTTTGTTGTTTTTTTTTTGAGACAGAGTCTCGCTTTCTTGCCTAGGCTAGAGTGAGTGCCGTGGCGTCAGCCTAGCTCACAGCAACCTCAAACTCCTGGGCTCAAGCGATCCTCCTGCCCCAGCCTCCCAAGTAGCTGGGACTACAGGCACGAGCCACCATGCCCGGCTGATTTTTATATTATATATATTAGTTGGCCAATTAATTTCTTTCTATTTTTATGGTAGAGACGGGGTCTCGCTCAGGCTGGTTTTGAACTCCTGACCTTGAGCGATCCGCCCGCCTCGGCCTCCCAGAGTGCTAGGATTACAGGCGTGAGCCACCGCGCCCGGCTACATTAATTTTTTTAAATGCACACTTTTTTAGTAGGTACTCAAGAAGCATGCCTGGTGGCATTTAGTAAAAATGTCAAATCCATGAAAGATTTTGACAGGATGGGGGTACTATTTGAATATCAAAGCTACTTTGTAGTGGAGAATTGCACATGGTAACTTAATAACTATACATTAAATTGGTAATGGTCTTTTTTATTATTTTAACTTATTAATTTCATGAACTCTTTTATAGTTACTTTGATAGAGAAAATAATTTGATAGAATAGTTATGTCTAGAATGATGTAAATGGAACCTATACCTGAGAATGCAGTAATCTTCATAGCTATTGAGTATTTTTTCCAAAATAATAAATGTCTTTCAGTTAATCATAGATTAATTATTTGGCAATTCATTTAGGAACAACAAGAACATTGTGGTTCCCAGCCTTTGGTTGACTTTGACATTCCTTTTGGTATGTATATGTGTGATTAACATAATATCTAACTTTAGAATTATAATTAGCTTTCTAGAAATATATGCAATATAAAAATGAGACTAAATTATTTTCATGTTATCTGACTAGATAGTGTGTGTGTATGTATGTGTCTGTGTGTGTTTTGATATGTTTTCCAGCAAAGCACTGGTTGATGAAGTATGGCCTATAGGCCAGATCTGGACCATGCCTGTTTTTGTAAATTAAGTTTTATTGAAACAGCCATGCCAATTTGTCTGTGTATTGTCTAAGATTGCTTTCATACTGCAGCAGGGTAAAGTAGTTGCAAAAGTGACCATCTGGCCCACAAAGCCTAAAATATTTTTTAACTGTCCCTTTACAGAAAAAGCTTGCTGACCTCTGCAGAGCTATGTAATTAATTAGAATATCAAATAAGGCATATAAGGTCTAAAAGAAAATGATGGAAGAACATGCCTAGGATTAAATTCATCATAGAAAATGTATGCACATTAAAAATAGAGGCGTCAGTTCAAACAGAGAACTCAGTTACAGATAGTAAATTATTTCAATAAACTGGTCAGTTTATTTCTTGCCCCTTGAATGTATGTATTCCCTAAATTTTTCTCCTAAGCAGTTCATACACACACTCTCTCTGTCTCTGTCTCATTCACTTACTCTTGTGCTTAGAAGACCATTCATTCTAATGATTCAACCCCTACATTTTTTGATTATACTCAAATATACATATAGTCTCTCTCATCTTTCTTTACTACTGTCACCTTAAATTCAACATGCCCAAATTTTAAATTGATATCTTCTTGTTAGTGATATCACCATTTTATTTATTTTTGCCTTGAAAGGCACCCTTGATTTATCTGATCTCCCTTCTCCTGCATTCACTTAGTCCTTGCCCTGGTTGTCTGTTCCTATGTCTGTGCTACTGCCCTGTCATCAGGCCTTTGCTCCCCTAAACCAAGTAATCATTTCCTAACTCACTTGCTTAGCCTCAGTCTCTCTGTTTCCTAATCCATCTGGCATTCTTCTTTCCTGCCCACTTGTCTTAAAATGACTTTATCTTTTTCACTCTAATAAGATGTTTTTTCACTTTGTTATGGTAATATATGCTTATTGGTGAAAATTTAGTAAATACAAATAGGGAACAAGAAGAATATTAAAATTTACCATCATCTATCTAGAGATAACCAGTCTTAATTTTCTTTCAGGCTTTATTTTATGAACATTCCTACACTTATATATCTGTATATATTTGCAGATATATATAAGTAGAGATAGTCATCAAATGAAAGAAATTCCTCCTGCATTTTTTATAACTTGTTTTTACATACTAAGACTACAATGTTCCCATATCATAGATATTCTTCTGTGATGTTATTTTTAGTGACAGCATGGTATTCCAGTGGATGTGTGTTGTACCATCCCTAACAACAATTCTCCAGCACCAACTGGATATCCTACAATTTAGTTTAATTCTGACACTAATTACCTAAAATTAGCATAGATCCCACAGGTTAAGGGTTTAGTCCTGCAATACTGCTCCACGTAGGTGCCAGCTCCAAACAGGATCCCCAGGCCACTTGCATTTCTGCCCAGCTGACTACAGATTTGGGGATTCCTTTGATCTGCACTCCCAACTCGGGTTCAATAATTGACTAGTACAACTCAGAACTTGGGAAAATGCTTTACTTCCCATTACAGTTTTATTATAAAGGATACAACTCAGGAACAACCAAATGGAAGAGATGCATAGGGCAAGATGGTAGAGGAGGGAGAGGCAGCACAGAGCTTCCATGCCCTCTCTGGGCAGGTCAATCTCCTAGCACATCCAGGTAGTCACTAACCCGGAATCCCCCTCAGCCTGTTTTTTTTTTTCAGAACTTTTTTTTTTTGGAAGCAGTGTCTCGCTCTGTTGCCCAGGCTAGAATGCTGTGGCATCAGCCTAGCTCACAGCAACCTCAAACTCCTGGGCTCACGTGATCTTCCTGTCTCATCCTCCCAAATAGCTAAGACTACAGGCACCTGCCAGCATGTCTGGCTAATTTCTTTTTCTATTTTTAGTTGTTTGGCTAATTTCTTTCTATTTTTAGTAGATATGGAGACTCGTTATTGCTCAGGCTGGTTTCAAACTCCTCACCTTGAGCAATCCACCCACCTCAGCATCCCAGAGTGCTAGGATTACAGGCATGGGCCACCGCACCTGGCCTTTTTTTCAGAATTTTTATTGAAATTTCAGTATATAGGTATGACTGATTAAATCATCGCCCATTGTGATTGACTCAATCTTCAGCCCTCTCCCTTTCCCAGAGGTGGGAGTAGTGTGGGTGAGTTGGGGGCTTATAGTTGTAATCCTCTAAGCATGTGGTTGGTTCCTCTGGTGACCAGGTCCCATCTTGAAGCTATCTAGGGGCCTGACAAGAGTCACCTCATTAGCATAAACTACAGTATGCTCAAAAGGGAGTCATTATGAATAACAAAAGACACTTCTGTCTCTCAGGAAATTCCAGGTGTCTAAGGAACTCTGGGCTGGGAAATGAAGACAAAGACCATATATGTGTATTGTTAATTATACCACAATATGCCTTCATTGATACTGCCATATTCAACCTAGTCTTCTCTGGCAGATTTCCCAGGAAAATCCACATCTAAACCCAAACTCCCATAATAGACTTTGGGTTTTGATTCTACTTTCTGCCTTTCCACTTGGGTAGAAATTACCTCAAGTACAGCATATGAAGTCTGAATTAATTATCTCTACCCTGCCCAACTGATTGGTTCTCTATCTCCTATGTTCTCTATCTCCATTGTGTTATTCTGAATTCCTCCTTCCCTCTGTTCCTCTCATCTAGTCAATAACCAGTTCATGCCTATTTTACCTTTGTAATTATTAAATTTATCCTCTTTCCTCCTTCCTTCACCATTGCTAGGTACTTATTTAAACTGCTGCAGTAGCCCCATCTGATTGCCTTGCTTTAGTTTTGTCTATTCAAATCTATTTTCCACACCCTGGCTGGGTGGTTTCTCTAGAGCATCAGTCTGACCATATCATTTCTCCACTTACCAGCTTCTGTTGGATCTTCATTAGCCAGAATAATATCTAGATTTATAGGCTGGGCATACAGAGCCCTCCACAATTTTGGTTTTGATTCTACCATGTCTTTGAGATTCAACTTACATGCCCCCTCACGCAGAAGAAAGTCCATCTTGGTAACAACCTAACACCCCATATTTTACCTCCCCTGAGTTAGGTACTATGTTTCTTGGATCCCAACAGTATGTTTGCTTCTCAATGATCACTTCCAATGTTTCATTATATTTAAGAAATGCTACAAGATGACCTTAATACTTCAGCTGGATTGCATTTCATGGCCTCTATAAAAAAGAAAGCTATAGGAAGTCAGGATGCGAGTACAAATACAGACCCAGGTAAAATGCTGTTTTTCTTTTTTAAAACATTCATATATTTTGACATATTTAAGATATCTAGACTTTTTCTCTAAGGGAGAAAAAGTGATTTAAAGGGAATTTTAAATTATGTGATATTTGTTACTCATCCCAGGTTTTTCTCCTCAACCCTAGCATATACTTTAGAAATTGAATTTATGATAACTTAAGTAAAACATAATAGAGATTTTTTGTTCAAAACTACCACGGACTACATCCCAAGTCAGTAGAAATAATTTTTTGAATTTGGATTCTCTATGCCATTGGTGACCTTCACTGGAATTGCATGCCTAAAGTTGAGAGGCCTGGCACTGTGTCTGGTAAAGTTAAACCAGGAAGAGGACTGGATGAGGTTTAGTCCAGGAGTGCTTTGTAACTGGGTCCAAAAGTAGAGGAAATAAGTGTTGGAGGATCTACTATTTGAAATGTTACCTGACCAACTTCCTCATAATGGAGCTTAGCATTGTGAACAGTTTTTTGTATTTTTGTTTGTTTGTTTTTGTTTTTTTTGAGACAGTGTCTTGCTCTGTTGCCCTGGTTAGAGTGCAGTGGCATCATATAGCTCACTACAAACTCAAGCTCCTGAGCTCAAACGATACTCTGCCTCAGCCTGCTGAGTAGCCAGGACTACAGGCACATGCCATTATGCCCAGCTAATTTTTCTAGTTTTTATAGAGATGTGTCTTGCTCTTGCTCAAGCTGGTCTCAAATTCCTGAGCTCAAGCAATCCTCCTGCCTCAGCCACCCAGAGTGCTAGGATTACAGGTATGAGCCATTGCACCCAGCCTGTGAACAGTATCTTGAAAAGTATTCTGCCAGTTGTATCATAGTAATTCTTTTTTATGATGTTTATTAATAGTAAACAGTTTTGTGTAACTGTGTTCAGAACCTTATAAGTACTTTTTTAAACCCTCTCTAATTTTATCTTATTGTAAAATAATACTTACTGGCATTATTTTAAAAATATGTGACCATTGTAGGCTATTTTGGATAATATAGCAAGCTGTGCAAAAGATGAAAATTAACCACAATCATACCACTTAGTGATAACATTTTTGTTATTTTTTCTTTCAGTCATCTTTTGTACATTTTGCATGGTTAAATATTCTATATAGAGCAGTTGTGTCCTTCCTTACTATCTGAATCAAATCTTACAGATATTGCTAGCTTCCCTAGCTTTTCCCTGAGAGTTTAACAACCTCATGGGTCCCTGTGTTTTTTTCAAGGGCTTTGGGACATTCTCAGATTATAGTGTAACCTTAACATATTAATTCTTTGGTTCTTTGCTTCATAGTATTAATACTTGTTTTCTGTAGTATTAATATCTATATTCAGTATTGTTGTATATTGCAAGCAAAATAATGAATTAAATGAATGTTAATTAAAAAGTGATATTTAAAATGGTTTGTATTATGTAGTAGTCATTGATGGATTGTTTTTAGGTGTTTAAAAGTTATTTAATGATGTTTGGGAAAATTGGACAGGCTGGGACACCTTTTTTTGAAATAATGTAATACAGTCAGTCTACTGGAATCTGAAAATTCAGTATCCAGCACATTTGTGGGAGTGGATTAGATTTAGATAACGAGGGATATCTGTATTTTGTATCCTGTTTTGTTTCACTTTGATTTCTACTTATGTCAAACATTTTCTGTGTCATCCAGAAAGTACTTTGTTAGCAGATTCCTTCTTTCAGCTGTGCCATAAAACATTTTAACCAATTCCTTATTGTTGACTGCATTAGGCGGTTTCTAGTTTTTTTCCTCCTATAAGTAATGCTTCAGTGAGTATCTTCCTGAATAAGAGCCTTTTTTGGTCATTACTGTGATTTAGCTAACTTTTTTGACTTTGCCAATGTGATAGGTCAAAAAAAAGACATTTTAACTTATGTTTCTTTCTAATTGAGGTTGAGCATGTATAAGATATTTGTGATGTAAATGATGAGTGTGCATCTGATAAACATTCTTAAATGTTCATAATCTCAGCATGTCTTTGAGAAAGCTTTGGAGGTGCTTTGCCTTTGCTGCTGGATAGTTTTCTAAAGTTGGCAGAGTATTTGCTAGGGGTCTCTTATTCATCTAGTGAAGACCCAAGATATAAATAATACAATCTGAAATTATATTAATTATTTGAAAATGAAATTGTAAGCTGTCAATCTGCTTTCTACCTACCACACTGTATACACAACATCTAATTATCTGCATTCATATATTTAATTTTAATTTATTTTTAATATTTCCTGTGTTTGTGAAATTTGTTTTCTATTTTCTTTTTTTGCCTTAAATTTCCTAATGTAGTACAAGATAAGGAAGCTACTTCTCAAGAAGTTGTTTCTGAAAGTGGGAAAAATCAACAAATCATTTCTTGCACAGCAGGTGTGATTTCTTTCTTTTTTGCCTGAAAACAGTATGACTTATTAAAGATGATATCTGCATGATGCCAAAGCGGGAGTCACCATCCTCCCATAGAAAAGCAGTTAAAACAATCATTTGATTCAATAGAGATAGAACAATGATTTTAAGTATTTTCATTTTTCTTTTTTCTAGTTTTTTGATTAACCTATAGTTTAAATTCAGGACTTGGTAGCAACCTTTCAGTACTCAGTATGACAGTGAGTTATATTTTACATATGAAATTTGGGAATAATGTTTTATAAAAATAAAATATTAGAAAATAAGAATAGAGTCCTAGGACTAAAGGTACATAGTTAAACTGTCTGCTTACCTACTGTGACAGGCCTGTTTATTTTATTATTTAATAAGAAGCAAACAACTTTTGTGATATTTACATGTTATTAATAAAACATTTTAGGTGGTAAAATTTAGCTTTGGGCTCTGGGAGTATACTGTAAGCCATTGGATGGTACCCTTTGAAAAGTGTGAATTTATCTCACTAAAGCTGTTAATAAAAATAAATAGTAAGAAACTATTGAAAGTTAAAAAAATTAATTAGAGGTTAATTCCCTAAAATCTGACTTGATTGAAATTCTCCTAAATAAAGTAGACAAACATGACTTAACATATCTAAAATGGAAATAGGAGATTATAGCATTTTCTTGACATACAGATACTTTAATGTTGTGAATCATTTATATGAGAAAAGCTATAGTCAGCCTTCATTCAGTGATGAGTTACTCTAAATTGCCCTTAGAAATTTCAGGCTGCTGTGAGCTAGGCTGATGCCATAGCATTGTAGCCCGAGGCAACAGAGTGAGACCCTGTCTCAAAAAAAAAAAAAAGGAAAAAATTATTTATTAACATAATTTTGTTAACTATCTCTCTACATGGCATGATACAAATGAAAACTGATGTTACTATAAATAGTAAAAGTATATTTTATGCTATTGGTGTTTAACAGCAGAGGACGAGCCAGAGAAGAGTTGCCAAGAAAAGATCTGAAAACTGGAGAAAACCAAGTGTGACTTTTCGACCAGAGGTTCCATCATTAATAATGACGATTCAAAAATCATTAAGAAACCAAAGGTATAGAACAGCTAGTATAGGTCTTCCTTGATTCTCATGTACAGAGTTTAGTATACTTCTTTGTGGTTTATCTAGTCAGTTTCTGGAAGCTTAGATTATAATTAGGAGTATCTTTACATCATTCAGTACCTAAATCCCTGCTACTTCTCTCCCCAGAACGTGGACATTCACAACAGTAGTACTGTGAATGTCAAAAGCACCTTGATGGAAAATCAAAATGCAGTTTAGGGTACCTTGCTGTGTGACTCTTTCATATTTGAAATCCTCTTTTGCTTTTTTCTGTGACATCTTAATGCATATACTGGTGTTATTTGGGTTCTCCTGTGCCGTTTCACCTACTTTTTGGCGAGTTTCTCGTATGATCTTTCTCTTAGGTTTGTTATCGTTAACCTATATTTTAAGTCAGTCTTTTTAAACATTTTACGCCTCCAAATTTGCTTGCACTGTCTATTTAGCTGTTTTTGCGACAACAAGTAAAACAGAAACATTACTATTGCTTACACTTAATTTTTTGTTTTTTGTTGTTTTTTTTTTGAGACAGAGTCTCGCTTTTCTTGCCAGGCTAGAGTGAGTGCCGTGGCGTCAGCCTAGCTCACAGCAACCTCAAATCCGGCCCAGCGTATCCTCTGCCCCGCTCCCAAGTAGCTGGACTACAGCACGAGCCACCTATGCCGGCTGATTTTATATTATATAGTCATTAGTTGGCCAATTAACGTGTTCTTTCTATTTTCTATTGTAGAGACGGAGGGGTCTCGCTCAGGGCTGGTGTTTGAACTCCTGATTGAGCGATCCGCCCGCCTCGGCATCCCAGAGTGCTAGGATTATCAGGCGGTGAGCCACCGCGCGCCGGCACATTAATTTTTTTAAATGCACCTTTTTTGTAGGTACTCAACGAAGCATGCCTGGTGGGGCATTTAAAAGTAAATGTCCTATGAAAGATTTTGACAGGCATGGGCGGTACTATTTGATATCAAAGTCTTCTGTAGTGGGAATTGCACATGGTTACTTATGAACTATACACCGCTCTAAACCTTTGGTAATGGTCTTTTCTTATTTTTTAACGTATTAACTTTCACTCGACTCTTTTTAGTTACTGGTTGCTACGAGAAATACAGTCTTGATAGAATAGATTATGCTCTAGAATCGATGTAACAGTGGAACCTATACCGGTGAGAACTGCAGTATCTTCTAGGCTATTGCAGTATTTTTTCCAAAATAATAGAATGCTCTCTTCAGTTAATCATACGATCTAGATTATTTGGCATTCATGTTAGAACACCAGAACATCTGGTGGTTCCAGCTTTGGTTGGATTTGGACATTCCTTTTGGTATGTACTACGATGTGTGATTAACATCAATATTAACTTTCAGAATATAATTAGCTTTCTAGAATATCATGCCAATATAAAAATCGAGACTAAAGATTATTCTCCATGGTTATTGATAGATAGCGTGTTGTATGTATCTGTCTGTGTGTTTTTTGACTATGTTTTTCCAGCAAAGCACTGGTTGTGAAAGTTAGGCTATAGCGGCCACGATCATGGACATCCGCCACTGTTTTTGAAACTTTAAGGTTATATTGAAACAGCATGCCATCTTGTCTGTGTATCTGTTACAGATTTCTTCACTACTGCAGCAAGGGTATAGTTGCAAGAAGTGACATCTGGCCACAAAGCCTAAAAATCATGTTTAACTCGTCCTTTACAGAAAAACGCTTGCTGACCTCTGCAGAGCTATGTAATTAATGTACGAATCACTCAAAATAACGCGGCATATAAGGTCTCAAAGAAAATGATGGAAGAACATGCTAGGATTACAATTCATCATAGAATGTACTGCACAATTAAAAATGGAGGCGTCAGTTCAAACAGAGAACTCAGTTACAGATAGTAAATTATTTCACTAAACTGTCAGTTTATTTCTCTGCCCTTGAGGTATGTATTCCCTAAATTTTCTCCTAGCAGTTTCCATACACACACTCTCTCTGTCTCTGTCTCATTCATTCACTCTTGTGCTTAGAAGACCATTCTTCTAATGATTTCAACCTACATTTTTTGATTATACTCAAATATACATATAGTCTCTCTCATCTTTCTTTACTACTGTCACCTTAAATTCAACATGCCCAATTTTAAATTGATATCTTCTTGTTAGTGATATCACCTTTTACTTTATTTTTGCCTTGAAAGGCACCCTTGATTTTATTGATCTCCTTCTCCTGCATTCACTTAGTCCTTGCCCTGGTCGTCTGTTCCTAGTGCTCTGTGCTACTGCCCTGTCATCAGCGCCTTTGCTCCCTAAACCAAGTAATCATTTCTAACTCACTTGCTTAGCCTCAGTCTCTCTGTTTCCTAATCCATCTGGCATTCTCTTTCCTGCCCACTTGTCTTAAAATGACTTTTATTTTTTCACTCTAATAAGATGTTTTTTCACTTTGTTATGGTAATATATGCTTATTGGTGAAAATTTAGTAAATCAAATAGGGAACAAGAAGAATATTAAATTTACCATCATCTATCTAGAGATAACCAGTCTTAATTTTCTTCTCAGCGCTTTATTTTATGACATTCCTACATTATATATCTGTATATATTTGCAGATATACTATAAGTAGAGATAGTCATCAAATGAAGAAATTCCTCCTGCATTTTTTATAACTTGTTTTTACATACTAAGACTACATGTTCCCAGTATCATAGATATTCTTTCTGTGATGTTATTTTAGTGACAGCATGGTATTCCAGTGGATGTGTGTTTTGTACCATCCCTAACACAATTCTCCAGCACCAACTGGATATTCCTACAATTTAGTTTTAATTCTGCACTAATTACCTAAATTAGCATAGATCCCACAGGTTAAGGGTTTAGTCCTGCAAGACTGCTCCACGTAGTGCCAGCTCCAAACAGGATCCCAGGCCACTTGCATTTCTGCCAGCTGACTACAGATTTGGGGATTCCTTTGATCTGCACTCCCAACTCGGGTTCAATAATTGACTAGTACAACTCAGAACTTGGGAAATGCTTTACTTCCCATTACAGTTTTATTATAAAGGATACAATCAGGAACAACCAATGGAAGAGATGCATAGGGCAAGATGGTAGAGGAGGGAGAGGCAGCACAGAGCTTCCATGCCCTCTCTGGCAGGTCAGTCTCCTAGCACATCCAGGTAGTCACTAACCCGGAATCCCCTCGCCTGTTTTTTTTTTTTAGAATTTTTTTTTTTGGAAGCAGTGTCTCGCTCTGTTGTCCAGGCTAGAATGCTGTGGCTCAGCCTACGCTCACAGCCAACCTCAGACTCCTGGGCTCACGTGTCTTCCTGTCTCATCCTCCCAAATAGCTAAGACTACAGGCACTGCCAGCATGTCTGGCTAATTCTTTTTCTATTTTTAGTTGTTTGGCTAATTTCTTTTCTATTTTTAGTAGATATGGAGACTCGTTATTGCTCAGGCTGGTTTCAAACTGCCTCACCTTGAGCAATCCACCCGCCTCAGCTCCCAGAGTGCTAGGATTACAGGCATGGGCCACCGCACCTGCCTTTTTTTCAATTTTTATTGAAATTTCAGTATATAGGTATGACTGATTAAATCATCGCCCATTGTGATTGACTCAATCTTCAGCCCTCTCCCTTTCCCAGAGGTGGGAGTAGTGTGGGTGAGTGGGGGCTTATAGTTGTAATCCTCTAACCATGTGGTTGGTTCCTCTGGTGACCAGGTCCCATCTTGAAGCTATCTAGGGGCCTGACAAGAGTCACCTCATTAGCATAAACTACAGTATGCTCAAAGGGGAGTCATTATGAATAACAAAGACACTTCTGTCTCTCAGGAAATTCCAGGTGTCTAAGGAACTCTGGCTGGAAATGAAGACAAAGACCGATATATCGGTATTGTTAATTATACCACAATATGCCTTCATTGATCTGCCTTATTCAACCTATCTTCTCTGGCAGATTTCCAGGAAAATCCACATCTAAACCAAACTCCATAATACTTTGGTTTTGATTCTACTTTCTGCCTTTCCACTTGGTAGAAATTACCTCAAGTACAGGCATATGAAGTCTGAATTAATTATCTCTACCCTGCCCAACTGATTGGTTCTCTATCTCCATTGTGTTATTCTGAATTCCTCCTTCCTCTGTTCCTCTCTCTAGTCAATAACCAGTTCATGCTTATTTTACCTTGTAATTATTTTTATCCTCTTCTCCTTCCTTCACCATTGCTAGGTACTTATTTAAACTGCTGCAGTAGCCCCATCTGATTGCCTTGCTTTAGTTTTGTCTATCAAATCATTTTCCACACCCTGGCTGGGTGGTTTCTCTAGAGCATCAGTCTGACATATCATTTCTCCACTTACCAGCTTCTGTTGGATCTTCATTAGCCAGAATACATATTCTAGATTTATAGGCGGGCATACAGAGCCTCCACAATTTTGGTTTGATTCTACCATGTCTTTGAGATTCCATTACATCGCCCTCACGCAGAAGAAAGTCCATCTTGGTAACAACCTACACCACCATATTTCACCTCCCTGAGTTAGGTACTATGTTCTTGGATCCCAACAGTATGTTTCTTCTCAATGATCACTTCCAATGTTTCATTATATTTAAGAATGCTACAAGATGACCTTAATACTTCAGCTG